CTGCCAGCAGAAATGCAATATCTTTCAATTACTGCTTGGAAGCAAGGCTTTCCTTTTGTTTACTGGAAAAAAAAACAACACAAAAGAGATGCTCGTAGAGGACTGTAAAATGAAGGTGAATCTATTTTTGCCGTACTCTAAATCCGGTTGGGGCTTTGCGCGCACAGAGCAGGTTAGCTGCTTGTCAGCTCCGTCTGACACGCTGCGGTGCCACAGGGGAGTTATTTGGCTGGAGCTGGGAGTGCGACAAGGAGCTGGCGCTCCGGCTGAGCCCCAGCACGCTGAGCCACGCGGCCGGCTTTCGGCACGTGGGGGGCTGGCAGGAGGACGGGGCATTTCCCCCGTGCCAGGGGAGCGCTCGGCCCCACTGCGGTTCTGCCTGACACAAGGAAAACCAGCACAAGGAGGTGCAGAAATGACCTGAGCAACTTCTCAGCATTTCTTAGAGCTGAGCAGGCAAAGCAGTCTCCTTCTTGGAACAAAACACAGAGCAGAGGGACTGCCCAGGCTGCCAGCCCAGCTATGGAGAAATGAAACGCGAGGTGCCTCAATAACAGCTTCAGTTCAATGGTTTGGGGCTGTGGAGGGATGCAAAGCAATTCACTGCTCCTCCAAGCGCTCCTCGGCTCCGCTCGCCAAAGCCCAGCCTGACACTCCAACATTAGCAAGACCCAGGGCAGCCATGGGGGATCAGCCCGGGAAACACAGCTGACCTGCGTGGGGGCCAGCTAACAGCAAATTGGCCAGCTCCATCTCCAAACACAGAGCACACAAAGCACCACGCAGAAAATGACTTTTCTGGGATCTTCAGGCCAATCTGCAGGTTACGGAGAGGTAACCTGCAGCTGCAGCAAACCCCCGCCATGGACCTGGGGCCACGCGAGCCCGCGGGGGCAGCACCCCCTTACCAGCTCCACACGCCGGCGGCTGGACTCCAGTTCCCTCTGCACCAGCTCATCCATGTCAGCCTTCATCTCCTCCATCCTCCTCTGGTAGTACCTGGTGGTCTCCTTCTCCCGCGCCTCTGACTCGGCCGCCTTCTCCAGCTCCTCGCCCATCTTTATGATGCTGTCTCGCAAGCGCAGCACCAGCACCTGGGGAAGAGGGTGCGAGGTGAAGCAAGGGAGATGGAGGTGAGGAGTTACAAAGCATCGCTTGATGCTTGTGGAGAGCACTCCCTCCCCGACCCGCGCCACAGAGCCAGTCACTATTATTATCATCATTATCAAGCATCGCCCTGAAACCTTGCAAGTGGCAGCAGCTGCCTGCAGTGGGTGCAGACCCCAGTGACCCCAGCCCGTCCCTGCGCCCAGCTCTGCACCCACCACAACAGGCAGCGCCATCTCCCAGGGCCACACCACATCCCCCGGGGCTCCCACAGAGCCGGCTGCTGCTTTTGGGGGCACAAGATCATTTTCCTTGGCCCCTGGGCTGGGCTCATTTGGGCAGCGCGACTCGGGAAAAGTGACAGTAAAAACATATCCCAGGGTGCCAGTAGACGTGCTGATTAATGGGGACAGTGAAATATTGTGATCAAGCCTGATGTCCTGACTTCTGGATGATGCCAGAGCAGAGGGATGCCTGTCGGAAGGGTGCTGTGATGGATGTACTGAGCAGTCAGCACACACCATGCTCTGTGTCCGGAGGCAGGGACTGTATATACCTCCAGGTGTTTATAGCACTGGGCCCACTGTTGGCTTTCAGTAAATGCCACAGTGAAGCATGTATAGATAATGGCAGCAGCATGAAGTATATGGACTGTCCACAAGCCCAGGAGAGCTGGCCAAAAACCCCACCTGTCCCTCCCCACCCTTTCCCAGGTGCTTCTTCTCCCCAAAGCCGAGGCAGTCGCATCGCTGTGCCCGCCTTTTGCAAGCAAGCTGCATCTCCCCGGGACTCTGCATCCTCTCCGCAAGCAGTGAAGAGGTGGTACCTCAAAGCGCTTCATCTGCACAGCCTGGAAGTCCAGCTGGCTCTCCAGGTCGCGGATGTGGGCTTCTTGCCGGCTGACGATGGAGCGCTCAGCTGGGCACTGTTCCAGGCGCACCGCTCTTGCCTGCGCTGCCTGCAGCTGGGTGAGGACGGGCTGCGTTAGCACCTCTCCAGCCCCTGACCCACGCAAACACCTCCCGGTCCCTTTCCCAGATCCCCCACCAGTCCCTCTCCTTGGTGTGACATGCACCGAGGATCTCTGATGGCTCCTGAGACAAAGTGAACGTGCAGGACCTGGCTTAGGCTGCCAGGCACTATGGAAAAGCATTGCCTTTGGCTTCCTGAAGGACTCCCTGCTGTTAATACCACACAACAAAAGCATGACACTAACAGGTATTTTTGAATGAAAAATGTGCCAGCAAAACGACGCGTGTCTGGGTCTCTTTTGCTTTTCTCTTCTCAGCAAACTCTTTGAGGACAGCAGGCATAAAATTTCCCAATTTACCCCTGTGTGGAAAGCTGCCTGCACCAAGTTGTTTCTTCAGCCGTTACACCAAGATCTCCAAAGCAAATTGCCCTTTTAGCAATCCCGGTACAAGTTTGGTTCAGATTTTGTATTTATTTGACCTAGAAGTACAAGAATTTGTCTTCTTTTATCTGGTCTATCTCTAAAGCACCACCCGCTCCACCTCAGAGGGAGCGAGTCCTGCTTCTGATTCCTGGGCAGCTTAGCTACACTCCAATAAAGCACTTAAGTTAATGGGATTACTCATGTGTTTAAAATTAAATCCATGCACTCCAGGAGGGCTGGTGCAGCCGCAGAGGCGAGGCAGAGCAGCACCTGCCGGCACCCACCCCGGAGTCAGCCCCATCCCAGGGTCAGCCCCATGCCGAGCTCGCTCAGCCCCACGGGGCAGCTCCTGCCATGGCACCAGCAGCTCGGGAAGGGAGGAGGGGGAAATGGGGCTCTCCATCCCGAGAGCCTTGCCAGGGAAAGCTTTCTCCAGCCCAAAGCCATTGTGGGCAGAGCCCCACAGCCCATCCCGGCCCCGTCCTGCCCGTAGGGTCAGGGCTGCGGGCATGCAGCTGGCAAACAGCGGCTTCTGCACCGTGCTGCTCTCGGGGGCGCGCACAGCACATTACGAAGAGGAGAAGAACCTGACCATGTTACAAAGGACAAATGGCTTTGTACCACCAGGGTAGAGACTTGATCTGATTTCAGACAAGAACACGGCATCCGCGACTGGCACTGGCGATGCGCCAGGCACAGAGACATCAGAGGACAGCCGGATGGCTCTCACTCCTCAGCTCTGGGTGCAATGGGCTAGGGAGTAATTACCTTCTCCTGAAGGCTCTGCTTTTCTTTCTTCACATCCTCCACCTGTGTCTGCAGCTCCCGGATCTGAGTGATATCCGTTGCTGACTGCGGAAAGAGAAAGCCCAGCAGTGGGAGCAGACCCGAGGGCTTGGAGCAGCGGGCACATGCCACAAGGAGTGTGGTGCCGAAGGCTGGCTCGTGCCTGCACCTCCAGCAAGCCACTCCTGCACTGGACTGAAGGAGCTTAATTCTCCTGACTCAATGCAACTTTCCTAATTTTTGAAACAAATATTTGTAGATCAGGACAGAAACCATGTTGTCAAGGTCATTTCTGTCCTCAGGGTCCTTTCAGTTACAGACTCCCGGCTCCGTAACACCACTGCAAGGGGCACCAGACTGTGAATTGTCAGTCTTGCCAGCCTACCCCTGCTCTACTGGGAGCTTTGGGGTCCCTCAGCTCCAGGTACAATCCTTTGGGAGAGCCTGCCTTAGTCTGGATATTGCGCAGAAAGCCCCAGGGCTGTCTGTCAGCATTTTTTAAGCTCTGCATGAGAAAACAGTGAAAGAAAGAATACAAAAGAATCCAGACAGGGATGCTATAGGATTTCCCAACTATTGAAACAAAAGCCAAGAGACCTCTTGAAAGAAGACTCAAAACTACGGGTGAGAGGAGATAGAGCCATGAGCCATTCCTTCCTCTCATCACAGCATCTGCTTCCTGGGGTCCCCAAGCTGCTGTGCACTGATGGGGACTGCTGTTTGCTCTCAGCCAGGCTGCAGGGTTTTCCAAGCGCCCTCCCGGGGTGGGGGATGCTGCCCAGCCGCCACTGCCCTGGCTCCTACCTGGGCGATCAGAGCCTTGTGCTTTGCCATGAGCTCGTTCAGGTCTTCCTGGTCCTCGTCGATGCGTTTCAGGAGGTCGGCTCTCTCGTGCTGCAGCTGGTACAGCTGCTCATCCACCTGTGGGAGGACCCACGGGGCCACTGGGTTGTGAATCCCACAGGGGACCCACTGCACAGCACTGCCCGGACCGCGACATCCTCTGGGACACGCTGCCGCCAGCCTCCAACCCTGTGCTTGCACCGGGAGAAGCAAAGGGAGCTCCTGCATATCTGCAGAGGGGGACTGTGGGATGCTGCACCCTTTTACGATCCATTGCTGCGCCCTTATCCATCCATTAAGCCACCCGGGGGCTGTTGTTCCCAAAGAGGCTGGGTGATTTAGTAAATATGCTGATTATTGCTGATTTAGTATAAAAGCTGATTATTGCTATCAAACACGAGGAGGTAGGACTGCGCCGCTGCCCTCCCACCTCCCCAGCCCCGGCTGTGTCTCCGCACCAGGGTCTTGTTTCTGTTGAGGGTCTCCAGCTCCGTGTGCAAGTTCTCCAGCTCCAGGGCTGCGGTCTGCTGGGACCTCTGGGCCTCCGCGCACTTTGCTTTGCTCTCTTCCAACTGGGAAAAATTGAGGGAGATCATAATTAAAGGAGCACTCGGTGCCTGCAGAAACCACGTGCTGATTATGCTGTTCCCCTTGCCGCACAGTCACGTCTATTTACACTTCAGTCCCAGAGCATTTTCCCCTGCTAATGCACATGGAAACTCGACCTTTTAAAATCATCTGTGCTGCTTTTCAGCCCGTCTGCTCCCAGTTTACAGTGAAAAGGGCTTCCTTGGCAGCTCCCAGCACACTTAACTGCGGATCCTAACACCACTGACTGTCCTGCTGAGTACTGAAGTAAGCCCCTCAATCTGCATACCCACCCTCTGCCTTGGCACTGCCGTGGTGAGGTAAAGCTGGGATCATTAATTTGCAAAATTATGTGAATTACATGTAATTCCTGATTAGAGCAATTCATGATTCGGAGTTTGCAAATGGGCTTTTCATATGGCATAAATTGCATTTGCAAATACACATGAAATATCACGTTTATAAATGCTAATTTGCTCTCAGTTTTTATAGCTCAGCCATTAAGACTACAATGATCTTAAATGGGCTGCAAATATCTGGAAGATGCAGTGTCATCCCAAAAACTCACACTGCCAGGACAGAGGAGTTTACGTAGGCTGTACCTGAACATCCAGTTCCTTCCCTTGCTCGCTTAGGTTTCTTTCTTTTCTTTATGACAAAGAAAACAAAGAAAACTAAACCCCTCTGCCTGCTGCTCATTTCCCATGCCCGGTCCCCGTTCCCCTGCAGAGAATGCAGAGGTCCCGGGGGGCAACGGGAGCCGCTGTGCACCACAGTGAGAGTTTGAGCATTTTAGGCTATTTTCTCAGGGTTTACTCATCTTTTTGTACTCTCCCCCTCAAAAAAAGGGGGATTACAAAGTACTGCAACTGGAGCAATCCTCAGCTCATTTCCCTCAACTGTTTGGGGTGATTGAGACCTACTTGGAAAAGCCGAGCAGGTAATTTGCTTCCTCAGTGCCTAATCTGCAGAGGAAATGGAAGTCGTTTTTCCCTTAAAGTCAATGATTCTTTTTATATACCTGGCACAGTGCGATCTCTGAACGGCCGTTTCCCAGCCCTGCCGCACGGCACCGGCTCACCGACCACCTTCCTCGCCGCCTGCCCGCTGCAAGGGAGAGCCCTGTGCACGGCGGGGGGGGGACGCAGCACACTGCACCCCAAGGGCTGCCTCACCCCCGCCTTCCACGCCGCCTGCCCGCTGCAAGGGAGAGCCCTGTGCACGGCGGGGGGGGGACGCAGCACACTGCACCCCAAGGGCTGGCCAGGCGTGGAGGGGAACCAAACACTGCCACTGCAGCCAGCAGCAACAGAAACCTTTTCCCCCTCCATCCCAGGGCCAGAGCAGTGGCCTTTCTGGGGCATGTGGAAACGGAGGGTTCTGATCTTCAGCCTCTACCATCCTTCCTAAATTGCATCCCCTATTTTTAACTCCTTCGGTGAGAAAAATCAGGCAGAGAACATGTCCTCCACTGCCACAAGGCACAACGCTGACAGCTCCCACCAGCAACTTCAGCAAAACCTCTGGAAGCAAACACGCATCTGCCCCGAGGTGCCGTCGTCCCACCACTGAGGATGGGGCGGTGGCTAGTCTCTGCCTCCTGGGACCACCATTTCCATCTCTGAGCCCTTCTGCCACCCCTGCATGAACCAAGGAACGGATGGGAAGAAATAACCCTGAACATCGTTGGGTCTTCAGCTACAGTACCAGCCAGAAGCTGCTCACCATGGGAAGTATAAAGCTCTGGCATGGAGACATTTAGCAGTTTGAATCATGCAAAACTGTTATTTAAAATGATGTTCCTGTGTCCAAACCCAGCCCGTGCTGATGGATTGTCTAGTCAGTCTATTCATACATCTGCAGAGCCACTCTCACAGCGACACGTGCCGTGTTCCCCTTTCTTCCACCAGCTGAAAAATAGCCTTTATGGTTTGCATAAAGCTCAGGCAGCCGTTACTGAGATGACCTGAGCGATAGCTGCTGGGAGACGTTAAAGATGCCAATCTGACTGACTGCTGGTTTTATGGCCAAGGGCTTTTCCACCTGCCCAGCTTCAGGCTCCTCCAGAAGCAACCCCATCCACAACCAGCCCCTGGGACTGGCCTTTCCCCTGCCATGATTACACTAAAACTCCAGATAGTTTAATCAGAAACACATCTCCAGGACCTCTCATTAAATACCAGCTTCCATTTCACTTCGTGTAATGGAATTTTCCCACTTGGGAAGAATAAATAGAAATCTCCCTCAAAAATGTATAATGTATGAACTTCTGAACAACATTAGTTTGCTGTGCTACACCATCTGTTAAATACCTGCGTAAAATGGATGCTTCAGCCTTATTAAGAAACAATACTATATTTCTAGCCATATGGATTTTGATTAACGGAAATGTAGCATTTTAGCAAAGTTTTTATTCTTGTGGAGGTTTGTGGGCTGGTGGTAGGATGTATTGGCTTTTGAGAAAGTTGTCGTGAATGCCATTAGAAATCGTTCACATTTAAAGGACAGCGTAATCATGAGGCCTTTTTAACACATGCAGAGCCTCAGTGTTGGCGGCACAGCAAAGGCTCAATATTCCCAATATTAAGGCTTTCTGCTCTCCTTCTCCAAAGCATGAGGCAGCCGGGCAGAGGCCACCCACCGAGGGAGCTGGGAAGGAGCCGGGGACAGACTGTATGGTACCGCAGCCACAGGCAAGAGAAAGCAACCTCCTGCACGAGCCTGCCTCGCTGCGGGGACCAGGCTGCTCGGGGAACAAGGTGTTATTCCCCTAGCAAGATGTGGCCGGACGCCACAGGGACAGCCACGCTCGCCGGGCAGAGCGAGCGCCCCGGCATTGCCACTTGGTCCCTCGGATCAGCACGTGGAAGGGGTCCCTCAGCATCAGCCCACTGCAGCAAGCTCCGGCGCTGAGTAGGACCCAGCCCCGTCAAGAGCACCAGGGGCTGGGAAAGAGCAAAGCAGGGGCTCTGCATCATCTCCAGCCCCAAAGCCGGATTTGGGAAATACTGAGGGATTAATTGTTAAGTGTAGCATTACAGCATTAGCTCAATAATGTTTAAGAGAGAACTCACGAGTGTTGAAAATGGCCATTCCTGCTGCCTGCTCCGGCCATGGCCATACCCTGCCCTGGCCATCCAGGTCGGTGGTACAGGCATGGGCATGGGCACGGGCACGGGCACAGACATTCCGGCAGCTGCGTCAGGCTGAGCTCACCTTCCCCTTCTCCCTCGGCACAGGTGGGAACAGCTGCTGCTCACAGATGTTATTTATGCAGAACTATTATCTCAATTATATATGTATGTTGTTGGAATCGCTCATGCCTCCCGATTAGTTTGTTTCCAGGGGAAATGTACAGTACAGATTAATTACTGAGCGGTTTCGGAGGACCGGCATCGTTAGCTCAGTCCCGATGCTCGGCCTTGTGGGATGCATGTGCATGGCCAGCCTGGGGATGGACAGCCCCGTGCCACCCCTGTCCCGTGGCAGGGCACCCCGCGGACCCCAAGCTCAACCTGGGGCTGAGACCGTCTCCGGACGGTGGCGCGGTGGGCACAAGCATGGCACCCGCCTGCAGCCGCTCGCCGGGCCGCTCGGTGATGGCTGTGAACTGCACTTAAACTATGGCAAATCTGCTGTGATCACTGCTCCTGCCTTACAGCATCCCTATGGCAACACGTCCCGAACGCAGCGCCTCTGGAGCTCCTTATTAGACAGATAGAAAATGCGCTGAACAGAAGGTAATTAACAGGGCTGTGGGAAAAAAAAGGAAAAAAATACTTAACCACTGTTGGCTTAATTACAGAGAAGTGCTCCTTACAAGACAACCCTCATCAACACAAGAGGCACTTCTCACCCCGGCCTGGGCAGCGTGATGCTTGCACAGCACAAGGTCACCACTCGCCCCGCGCACAATTAAAACCAGGAGATCTGTAAATATTTCTTGCAACTTCCCCTTGGCTGAGGTAAAGGGTGATGCTCCAAGGGGCAGAGAGATGCCCGCACACCCAAAGGCATCTACCTGCTTGCGCAGCCGCTCCAGCTCCTGGGCACCGGCGCCAGGCTCCCCGGGGGCTGCCAGCAGCAGCTGCACGTCAGCAAGCAGGGTACGCGTCCGCCGCAGGTCCCGCCGCAGGAGAGCGGGCGGGGGACTTTCCAACCCACCCCAAGGCATTCCCCACACAATTTGGGATTAAATATTTTGGTAATGCTGAAGTCACGATGCAAGAAGATATTAAATATCTATCTATATATATTGCAATTTTCCCTCTTCCTGCCGCCCCGTTCCGCCCCACAAAACCTCCGTCGGAACTTTCCATCCCACCCCAAGGCATTCCCCACACAATTCGGGATTAGGGAAATATTTTGGTAATGCTGAAGTCACGATGCAAGAAGATATTAAATATCTATGTATATATATTGCAATTTTCCCTCTTTATCAAATAAAAATAATTCAATAGTTAAAAAAAGAGAAGAAAATAAATTACATAAACATCAAAACTGGCAGATTCCACCAAAACACCATATTTTTTTCCCCACCAGAAAGCTGTTCCTCTGAAAACATTAGCCCACCCCAGTCCCCATCAGCCGCGTGCCTGCCCAGCGACCATCCCTGCAGCCAGGGGAACAGCCCAGCCTCACAACCGGGGGGCACAGGCAGGCACTGCAGCTCCCCAGAGCCATAGCGCCCTGTCCTCGCAGCCACCGGGCACTGTCACCCCCCTGGGAAACCACCTGGCGGAGGGGTAGTGTCAGAGAGGGGCAGACCCAGAAGACGCGGGTCCAGCATCTGTGCCGAGAGCTGGCACAGAAAATGCAAAAGTCATTGCGTGAAAGAAGAAAAGCCAGAAAAAACCCTCTGCCCCTTTGGGGAAAAGAGTGTCAAAGGCAGGAGAAAGTCAGCCCAAAGGGGAAAGAGAAAAAAAAATGTGAAACACTGATGAGGAAAGCTTCATTAGGAGTTATTTACACATCTCTAATGCAAAGCATCTGGAGTCCCCATCAGCCACGGAGGGACGTAACCAATGCTGCTGCCTTCGTTGCGGGAGGCAGCAATCTCTCGTGCGTGAATCCCCAGCAGTGCTGGCGGAAAATAACTGCTGGGTGATTTTGGAGGCTCATCCCCGGGCCATGTGGTATCACCACATTACTCTGAAGCCTTTTAAAGAAGGGAAGTAGGAAGCACCTTAAAAAAAAAAACCCCGCTACACTCCCCCCGAAGCTGAGAGCAACCATGGTTACGAGGATAAAAGAATTAGAAAAACACCAGATAAACAGGGACATGGCTTCAGTGCTTGATTTCAGACTAATTGAAATATAAGAGCATTTTCCATTTAGTCTGTTTACCATGACTCTTCTTGTTTCAAACCTGTTCTCCTATTTTCTGTTCACTGGCTAAAATTAATTGTGCGGATTTGACCTTGTAATCTGGTTTAGAGCTGGATCCAGAAGTCGCTGGCATCTCCATTTCCTTAATTAGTTTTCTGGGTTGGCTTTATTTTTTCTTTTTTAATAAACTGCTCTGAAGCACACTGTCCACTGTAAATCAGACAGCATTTATAACAACACTGCAGCGGAGCAGATTTGCTGTCATCCCTGCCATCCCTACAGACTGTATCTTGAATGCCGTTCAGCATCATTTTCCCATAGCTCAGGGTCTGCCCGCCGCCACAGAGGATGGATTTTGTACTGTAACTGGAAGCAGCAGGTACGGCAGCTGCTGCCACCTCCCACCATTGCAGCCCGGTGCTTTTTAAGTTACAAAGCTGGGATTTCATTTAATAGCTGCTTTCAAGGCTCCGGTCACATACACTATAGCAATACCCAGATACACTATGCCATCTCCCCTTCCCCTCTTGGCGGGGGCCAGGGGCTGCCCAGGCAGCGCCTGGGGACAGTCCCGGGAAGGAGAAGGTGCCTTTCCTCGAGATGCCCCCCCGGGTTTGCTCCGCGCAGCTCCTGCTGCCTCCTCGTCCATCTTAGTTCTCCTCCTCCAAACAAGAGGGACGTGTTGGACTGAGAGGCAGTTATAATAATACCCTGCTTTTATACAGCAAGATTTATTCTGACGGTTCCCAAAACATTTTATAAGCCAGGAGCTGGGGGGACGTTATGGATAAGCCTCATCAGACTATTTTGTGTCTACTTGAAATATGCCCGCCATTTCAGTGTTGCAAAGCTCCCACATTCATCCCGTTTAATGAACACATGCAATTGCCAGGGCCGGTGAAATGGTGAAATCCAGCCGGCTTGTGCCAATGGCCGGAAGATGCGCTGCTTAATTACCACAGCTCCAGATAATCAGTTCCTCCTCTCCTGCGCGTGCAGGGTGAGTTGCAGGGCGATTGGGAGGCATCAGCACAAACCCAGCCTTGCTGAGCTCTGGGGAGCCCTGGGGTGCAGCAGCACCGAGATGGCAACTCTGAACCGTGCCAGGCTGATACTGTCCTCGGCCCTGGCAGCACCGTGGCCCCCGGCAAGGACCAGGCGGGACCCTTCTTTGTCACCAGAGCTCCTTCAGCAGGAGCTGGTGCATGAGGCGGCCTCTGGGCCTGGCTGCTTGGCGATGCTAAGTAATGCCCAAGCCGATAAATGCTGCTCAATGACGCTGCGTTCAGCCCCTCGCCTTCTAAATTAACAGGGAGCAGCTGTGTGTGCTTTCCCCATTACGTGCACTTCAATCACTGCCACAGACACATTAGAGAGTGAAAAAGGATTTGTTCAACAAATGTGTCTGGGACAGAATTCCTCTGCAAAGAGCAGAATCTGATAAACTGCTTTTCTGGGCCGTTGGAGCTGCTCCAGCATTAGTCCTGGTTTGTTTGACTCTCATGAAAATACCAGCAAAAAGCAGATCCCTCCCCCTGCTTAGATAATTCTCCTGTAGAAAAGCGAACAGTTCCCCTCCGTGGGTCCTTAGTGGGACCGGCTGTCTCCTATATGATGCCTGCAGTCCTGAAACCCTCCTGGCACCCAGTGCCTGCTGTGGCACACGCCACTGCTCTGACGGGTGGCGTTTGGAAAAGGCAAGGGATGGAGGGCATCACAGCCAGCTGCACGTGCGTGAACAACCAAGCTGTTGCCCCATCCACACACATGCACGCGTTCACGCTCCCTTTTTTACGGGCAGCGTTTCGAGCCAGGGCACAGCCAGCAAAGCGGCTTGGTTGGCTGGGAGGTAGCAGCAAGGAAAGCAGAGCACGCTTCTCCCCGCCGGCAGCCCCACCAGGCTGGCCCCAGGGCAGACACCGTCCTCTTACCTGCTCGCACAGGGTGCCGATGAGCCCTTCCAGGTCTTGCTTCTCATGCAGCACCATCTGCTTCTCCTCGTACTCCTGTTCCAGCTGCATCTCCAGCTGCCGGAGCTGTGCATGGGAGACAACCCCAGCCACGTTCAGAGCTCGGTTGCCCCCCGCCAAAGCCCCGTGTGCCAGCAGGGCACAGCTACCACCACAGCAGGGACCCAGGTGGCCGGGCAGCCCCCGGGAGAGCGTGTGCACCGAAGCCTCCCATCACTGCAGCCGGCGCTGGGGACCAGGACCAGGCCACGTCTCCTGGAACCCCTGCTACCCTCCAGGCAGTGCAACTGCTCCTGGCCAGGAGGAGCAAGAGTTAGCAGTCCAGAAGCCTGCAGGACTTTTGGGGACACGATGGGCTGTTTGAGCTACCCCACCTGTGAGGCATGCTCAGATGTCCCTAAGGGCTGTCCTTGCAGTTCTGGAGCAGTAACAGGGGGCCTTCAGCCAAGCTAGAAGAGGGTCGGCTCTAATCCCTCCAGGTTTCATTAAGGCATCCTGTGACCATGAGCCAGGCAGCATGCTTCTTGCTCCAGCTCCCCACCAGTGAGGAGGTGGCAGTGGCCTCGCAGGGCAGAGCATGCCGTAAAGGCAGGATTTGCGCTGCTCCGGGGAGCAAAGGGAGCCTCAGAGCCAGCACTGAACCCAGGAGCTTGTATCCCTCTGCCTTTGCCTCTGCTCAAGCATCGCTGTCCCACCGCACTGCAGCAACAGCAAATGCTTTGCAGGAGGGAACCAGACCTCAGGCAGCATCGCAGAGCTCTGCTGTGCAGCTGTGAGAGGTCCAGCAAGTCCAGCTCGAGGGGGTGGGGGGGGGTGGGAACGCGTGAACAAAGCAAGCCAGCCCATTTCACAGCCTGCTCCTCCCCTTGCAAGCAGCTGTGTGGCTGTGCCCGCAGGAGTGGACGTGCCAGGCTGCGATTGTGGCACAGCTCCCCGGAGCCCTCCCTGCCCCAGCCGCCTCCTGCACCCCCAGCCGCTGCTCAGAAACAGGGTTTAAAAAGGGAATGGGAGCAGGCTGCTAAATATCGCTTGCTCTCTGGAGTGTCTCTGCCATTTACTCATTTGGAAAATAATACTTGGGCCATGCAGGGTGAGGGAGAGAAAGGATGAATGACACCCCATCGGTCGAGAGCAGCTGCAAGGCACTGCATTTCCTTTAGCGGTGCTGGCACTACCTTGCTCTCTGCACAGGGCAATTAAACAGGCAGAGAGGTGCAGAAGGGCGGGGAGGACCCCGGGGAGGACCCCTGAGCAACGCATCCTCGCGACCAGCCCAGAGCTTCAGCAACAACTGGCCAGTGGAGATGGGGAGAGAGCAGCACTGAGCTGTTGCTGCACCATCCAGCAGAAGGGCAGCACCGTGGGAAGGCAGCGCAGTGGGAAACGGCAGCGCTTGCACCTGGTGGCAGCCCCCGGGCAGCCCCCCGTGGCATGCAAAGCCTTACAGCTTAGGGCACGGCTATGTGCTGACAGGAGCAGGAGGAGCAGAGATTGCCTCGTTTGCCTTCCCACTTGTCCCACCTTCCTAAAATAGCACATGCAAAGCCCCACCGACCAGTTCATTAAGCCTCAGCAATGTTAATTCACTATCGACAGCCACGTATGCCCCAGGCCTAATGGGAACTGGCTGCTACCACACAGCCCCACATCAAACACCCCAGGGATTTCGGAGAAATTGGAATTTGTGTTTGCAAGCCACCAACCTCGCAGCCTTGTTGGAAGGGTATTTTCTGTTAATTATTACCGCACACGAAGCCCTGGCTGGCTGGAGTTGGTGCCCTTGGCGTAACACTGGTGTTAGCGGGAGCACCGTGCCCGTGCGCTGCATCACACGTGGCTCTCACACACCGTCCCCAACAGCCGCTCCGTTGCAACAAGGACTCACGCCTGACCCAGACCCTGATTTTGCACCCAGGGGCTGCGACGGGGCTCATGCCGGGCTGGTGGTGGGAAAGCAGCGCTTGCCCGCCCTGCCGCTCCCCAGGGAGGAGGGACCCCTGGGAGCAGCTCCTCCTCCGCACTGTGGACAGGGGGAGCCCTGGGGAGCACCCAGCATTGTCCCCCAACCTGGCGCCGACCTACCCTCCTCTGGCAGGACTGCCGCACGTCCTCCAGCTCCTCGTCCTTGTCCTCCAGCTCCTTCTGGTGGATCTGCTTCATCCGCTCTATCTCCAGCTCCAGCCTCTGGTGGAGCTGAAAGATGAATGCACAGCAGTTGTACACAACCCCAGAGGGACAAAGGTGCAGAGATGAACATCCCTGGCACACCCAGCCCCAGCCCGGGTGGGGGCCACGCTACCTGCTCCAGGTGATCGACAGCGGCCGTTTGCCGCTCCAGCTCTTTCTGCTGCTCGGCAGCGCTGGCCTCCAGGTCCCAGAGCTGCTTCCTGAGTGTGGGCACGGCGCGGGCATCCAGGGCGCTGGGGGTGCTGAGCTCCTGCACCCGGCCGGCCAGCATGGTCGCCCGCTGTGCCAAGCTGGCCGCCTCCGCCTCCTTCTGCTGCTCGGCAGGGGCAGAGCGGCAGGTCAGCAGCCGAAGCCCAAATGCAGGAGAGGGGCCTTGCACACGCACTTCGCTCTTAAAACCCAGACCGATTCCTATGGCATCATCAGAAACACCCCGGAGCAGCAGCAGGCAGCGGTCAGCCCCCTCTCTGCACTGGCAGCCCCCGTCCCCACCATGAGCCCCGAGCAATGATTTCCCTCTCGGTTTTGCTCACTCGCTCCTGACCTCGCCTTCCTCCTCCCACAGGCTGGCCCCCACGCGGGTTCCCCGCAGCCCCCACCTCCTGGGGTGGCTGGAAGCCACCTTGTGGCTTCCCCCCCACCCCAGCACACCGTGCCCCTGCTGCTGCGGGGGGCTCGGCAGGCGCCCGGTGCAGCACTGTCCCATGGGGGCACAGACCTGCGGCTTCTTGCAGGTGAGGTTGCGCGTAGAGGCGTGAAGTGACTTCAGTGAAAATGAGGGTGGGCCTAATTAGCTAAACCATGGGATGGGTATCACTTGTAAAAAGTGATAGCCTTTCTTCTGGCAGAGGATAATGTTATTTAAATACATCAGGCACATCCTAGATCTGCGCTAAAAGAAACTGGAATCAAGTTGCTGGGTTTATGCCTGATTGCCTCTGCTATAATTGCAAAGATAATGGCTTTGCTCTGAGAGCTGCTCCCAAACCTGGATATAATGCAGCAAAGTGGGATATTTCCCTCTTACCTGTAAGCTCTGCTGAAGTTTGCCCATCTCCCATCGGATGCTGGTGTTCTCCTGTGACACTTTTTCACGGAGGCTCTTCTCAAAGGCAGACTCTCCCAGGGCCTGGGCTAACTGCAGGTCAAACCTGGAGGGGGAAACACACGTTACCTCTCCCGAGCAGGTCTGTGACGGCAGCATGGCTGCCTCCTGGCCCGGGGAGCTGCGCCAAGGCAGGCAGGGAGACAGGCTCAGCAGGCGGCAAGCCGCTTCTCCTGGCACTGGACTTTCTAAGCGCTTTTGAGAGGACAAAAAAAAAAAAAAAAAAAAAAACGCTTATTGC